CATAAGAAAATGAAATTTTATCTAAGGTGTGGTTTAGAAATGGTATAAACCTAGGTAATAGATACCGACAAATTGGTTTAGAAATACACGTGAGGAAATACTGGGACATAGAAAACGTTTTGGTCCTGGAACCATGATCTAAAGAGTTCATACCAGCCCCCAGATTTAGGAAACTTTAAAGGGAGACTTCATTGGCGGTGAAATGTAAAGGTCTCAAGACCTTTACATTTCACTGGAATTCCTTGACTAGGAATCTATAATGAAACGTTTTCATTGAGGCAGCCATGTCTTCTTTTTTAAAACAGTTCGTAACCGAGTCGATGAGGGGAAATAACCTGATTGGTTAATACAGGATAATACAGATAATACATGTCCTCAGAATCAAGATTCCATGATGTTGCAGTGTCTGACAAGTTGTGCAAGAATGGTATATAATACCGACAAGATGAAATTAAGACACAAGGTTGAGGGACTGATTACCTCATCTTCTGTACATAGTCCTACTGTCTTCAAGTTATGTCCTAGAATTTGTATTGATAAAGCCACTGGATGGCGAAACGTCTACAGTAAATATACCCAGATGTAGCACATGTGTCTTAATTTCATCTTGTCGGTATTATATACCATTCTTGCACATCAGAAATCTTCCCTCTGAGGATAGACTGAGGTCCCTGAATCTGCACTCTCTAGAAAGGCGTAGAATTAGGAGGGATGTGATTGAGGTGTATAAATGGAAGACAGGAATAAATAAAGGGGATGTAAATAACGTGCTGAAAATATCTAGCCTAGACAGGGTTCGTAGCAATGGTTTTAAGTTGGAAAAATTCAGATTCAGGAACGATGCAGGAAAGCACTGGTTTGGTAATAGTTGTGGATGAGTGGAACAAACTCCCAGTACAGTTATAGAGGCTAAAACGTTGTGTAGTTTTAAAAATAGGTTAGATAAATACATGAGTGGGTGTGGGTGGGTGTGAGTTGGACCTGATTAGCTTGTGCTACTAGGTCAGTTGTTGTGTTCCTTCCTTAAGTGAATGTGACCTGCCCTGACTAGGTTGGGGCATTGGCTTAAGCCGGTAGGAGACTTGGACCTGCCTCGCATGGGCCAGTAGGCCTTCTACAGTGTTCCTTCTTTCTTATGTTATGTTATATCTTGTTCATCAACGTGGTGTTGTATACGAGCCTAACTCCAGTATACACTATTTCTCTCATGCCTCTGCTTTAGTTAGTCTGAACCCCTTAATGTTACCTCTTCCCTCCCACTATCTCGTCACCTCCGTATTAGCTGGGAAAAGAGCCTGTTGTGCAGGCGAGACGTTTCAGCAATAAAGTTATCCCAGTGCTGCACATGTCGAATCAACTTCTCAGTGTTGCATATCATTTATGTTGAGTCTTCGCAATTCTAAATACAGAAGAAGCATGTTTTACTTATGTATAACCTTCATAAACTTTTGAGTGTGAAAAATGTCTCTGATATTTTCTCACATGTTTTGAACCACTTGTCGGTATCTGTTACCAAGATTTTTATATGAAACTTAGACATTGGTACTAGAATTTTAACCCAACACTTTATTAACAAGGTCACATTTGTGTGTGTGTGTGTGTGTGTGTGTGTATATATATATATATATATATAATATATATATATTATATATATATATATATATATATATATATATATATATATATATATACATACATATATAGTGGGACCCCATAGCCACTCGGAGAAGTGGATAAAAAGGCTTCAAGGAAGAATATTTGGATTTCTTCCTGAAGCCGTTTGAATATTCCACTTCCCCTACCACCCCATCTTTTAGTATATATTTTTTTTTACCAGTAGGAATATTTTATTACATAATATGGTACAGAAGATTTAAGAGATACATTGTTGATATAAAGGTGGCATATAAGGTACATGTTGTTACGTGTGTATCACCGATTATAAGGCGAAAATCTCATCCAGCTCCTCAGAGCTGGGGCGTGTGCCCAAAATACAGCAGGCATTACCCCTTTGAACAGCCACACTGAGCCGCTGGAACAGAAAACTAGCTGCCCTGGGATCCCTAGTAATGTACAAATCTACGGGATCGACACTTGTAATTCCAGTACATACTCTGGATATGAACGTTTAGGAGGTTCCCTGATGACGGTGAGGGACTGTTAGGTAAGACACATATGCAACAGTTAGGTATCTTTATTTCGAAACGTTTCGCCTACACAGTAGGCTTCTTCAGTCGAGTACAGAAAAGTTGATAGAAGCAGAAGATACTTGAAGACGATGTAATCAGTCCATCACCCTTTAAAGTTTGAGGTGGTCAGTCCCTCAGTCTGGAGAAGAGCATTGTTCCATAGAATGAAACAATATGAAGATGAAGTGACAGGATGGAGCCTTATATAGCGCCTAGAGGTGAGACGTAGGTCAGACACTGCAACACAAGGGTATCTTGGTACAGACCTACAATCAACTTCGACAACCTCTACTAGTGAGAACGGCTGGATTTGAGAGGGACCTGACCTCCCAACATCTGAGTTCTTACCTCTTCTAGTGACCTACGTCTCACCTCTTGGCGCTATATAAGGCTCCATCCTGTCACTTCATCTCCATATTGTTTCATTCTATGGAACAATGCTCTTCTCCAGACTTTTCTATCAACTTTTCTGTACTCGACTGAAGAAGCCTACTGTGTAGGCGAAACGTTTCGAAATAAAGATACCTAACTGTTGCATATGTGTCTTACCTAACAACCTGTCGGTATTTTATACCATTTTAATGTTCACGGTGAGGGACTCTTGAAACCACAGATTTTGACCTGACCTCCCCTTCCTTGATTCGAACCTAATTGCCTCCCATTCACCCAAGCGTTGTATGACTCGTACTTGTTTATCGTGCGCTCCATAAATGTAATAATAAAAGCTCTTCAAGGTCAGGATTTAATGTTAGAAAAAATAGTGCTAATATCATACGCAATTATTGGTACTGTGAATGTCTTTAGTCAGTTTTATGTTATTGTATAAATGGTGCTGGTTTAGAAAGGCACGTAAGCAAACACTATGACATATTTATTAGAAAACGTTTCGGTCCTGGGACCTTGATCAGGGAAGTGATCAAGGTCCCAGGACCGAAACGTTTTCTAATAAATATGTCATAGTGTTTGCTTACGTGCCTTTCTAAACCAACTTGTCGGTATTTATTACCAAGGTTTATACCATAAATGGCGCTCCAATATTCGGCACCTTCAATAATTCACGCAACACCAAGATTGTAAATAACTGACAGTGACTTAAAATAAGACCTTTTTTTTTTTTGTTTGTTTTTTCAGTCTTTCGCACCTCAGATATGTTATAACGTAAAGTCTTATTTAAGCTTAAATACTTGCAGACTTTTAGAAAATAAGGTTTTTGTGGAGTAATTAGTGTTTTAGGTTTTGGTGGACGAGTTACATCAACATGTGCCTCCTTGGTCACTGCAATTATGGAATACTGCAATTATGTTTTTGTAGTGCAGAAGAATGGTGTCCTCGATGTGCGGAATTTTGAAAGTGAAAACCTCACACTTTTCTGAAAGCATTAATAAAATGGTGACGCAATTATTTTATCTTCCTAGTTGATTTTTTTGACGAAGTTTGTTTGTACGTGGACAATAAGACACAAAAGCAGCATGGAACGCTTTGTTATAATGTGAATTAAACTTGATTATTGTGTGTTCTATTTAACTTTTGTATTATCGATCGTGTCTGTACTTTGTACTTTTCATAAGAACAGTACACGACTACCAGATGTAACCTGATAATGGTAAAGGATGGACCGAAACGTTTAATTTTTTTTTCCAAAATATGAATTAATTTTTTAATCGTTTCACCAATGGTACTGTGACGTGTTCTGTCTTCATGGAGAATAACTTTTTTACTTTATATTTGTTAATACAGATGTTTTACAATTATTATGCAGCTCAGTTTTGATACCATATTAAAAATTTGACACATGCGCCTGAGAACAAAGCTGCAATGTGTATATACAGTATATGGAAATATAAACACATATGCAGTATAAAGTGATCCTTTATTGACTACGTTTCACCCACACAGTGGGCTTTTTCAAGTCACAAACAGATCTACCTGGGGTGGAAGGGACGCGAGTATTTATAGTCAGGTTCAGAAGGCTGAGGTCAGGTGGAGAATGCTGCATCTGATGTACCGAGTGGGGTTATAGAGTCTAAAATCTTGGGTAGCTTGGAAATGAGATTGGATAAATTTCCAAACTACCCAAGATTTTAGACTCTATAACCCCACTCGGTACATCAGATGCAGCATTCTCCACCTGACCTCAGCCTTCTGAACCTGACTATAAATACTCGCGTCCCTTCCACCCCAGGTAGATCTGTTTGTGACTTGAAAAAGCCCACTGTGTGGGCGAAACGTAGTCAATAAAGGATCACTTTATACTGCATATGTGTTTATATTTCCATTGTGTCGGTATTTTATACCATTTATTTCCATATACAGTATATACAGATTTTGGAAAAAGTGCAGTCAATCACTTTGGACATGAACCCAAAAGTTTCCAGTAAACATATCTTAATTGACTGCATTTTTCTAGTGTAATATTGTTTATATGAAGCGCAAACCGTTGTGGGAGGTCAGCGATTGAGGCGCAGAGGGTGTTAATTAGCTCATATGTGGATTGTGACTGTATACTGTATGTAGCGAAGGATTTGGCTAACTGAAAGTTAGTCAATCTGCACTTTGCCTTTTTCATTAACAGTCTGTTGGTATTCTTTTATCACTTATGCATGCCTCATTTTAAGACAAAATATAATAACGTTTGCGAGGCATATATACATGTTATGGTTAAGAGGCAGTGTCTTTAATACAGTACTGTATTAAAGACATTCTGTCCTGGAGATTGAATATAGAGGGGATGTATTCAGAAGATTATGAAGGTTTTAATGTTTATGCTTTCTGTTGTAATAAAGACAACTAATTCTTCTTTTACATTTGCAGGAGTTCGAAGCACAGACGTATCACTCATCTTTGACGACTCTGAGATTGTTGTCAATCCAGGGGACCAGCTGAACTTAGACTGTGGCGTCCATGGACAAAGTCGCTACTGCATCTGGGAGAGTGAAAGCGGCCAGATTCTTCAGGTAAATATCAGTATAACAAATTTAATGGGTTTACAGAGTTAGTGACAGTTTAATCACCTACCCAGTAAATTAACGTTCAGTTGAGCGTTTACTATCGTAGCCTATATATACCTTTGGGGCCGTCACCTGGAGTTTACCTGGAGAGAGTTCCGGGGGTCAACGCCCCCGCGGCCCGGTCTGTGACCAGGCCTCCTGGTGGATCAGAGCCTGATCAACCAGGCTGTTGCTGCTGGCTGCACGCAAACCAACGTACGAGCCACAGCCCGGCTGGTCAGGAACCGACTTTAGGTGCTTGTCCAGTGCCAGCTTGAAGAGTGCCAGGGGTCTGTTGGTAATCCCCCTTATGTATGCTGGGACGCAGTTGAACAGTCTCGGGCCCCTGACACTTATTGTATGGTCTCTTAACGTGCTAGTGACACCCCTGCTTTTCATTGGGGGGATGGTGCATCGTCTGCCAAGTCTTTTGCTTTCGTAGTGAGTGATTTTCGTGTGCAAGTTCGGTACTAGTCCCTCTAGGATTTTCCAGGTGTATATAATCATGTATCTCTCCCGCCTGCGTTCCAGGGAATACAGGTTTAGGAACCTCAAGCGCTCCCAGTAATTGAGGTGTTTTATCTCCGTTATGCGCGCCGTGAAAGTTCTCTGTACATTTTCTAGGTCAGCAATTTCACCAGCCTAGATAGAACAAGTGACCTGAAGAGTGTCATCATGGGCTTGGCCTCCCTAGTTTTGAAGGTTCTCATTATCCATCCTGTCATTTTTCTAGCAGATGCGATTGATACAATGTTATGGTCCTTGAAGGTGAGATCCTCCGACATGATCACTACCAGGTCTTTGACGTTGGTGTTTCGCTCTATTTTGTGGCCAGAATTTGTTTTGTACTCTGATGAAGATTTAATTTCCTCGTGTTTACCATATCTGAGTAATTGAAATTTCTCATCGTTGAACTTCATATTGTTTTCTGCTGCCCACTGAAAGATTTGGTTGATGTCCGCCTGGAGCCTTGCAGTGTCTGGAATGGAAGACACTGTCATGCAGATTCGGGTGTCATCTGCAAAGGAAGACACGGTGCTGTGGCTGACATCCTTGTCTATGTCGGATATGAGGATGAGGAACAAGATGGGAGCGAGTACTGTGCCTTGTGGAACAGAGCTTTTCACCGTAGCTGCCTCGGACTTTACTCTGTTGACGACTACTCTCTGTGCTCTGTTAGTGAGGAAATTATAGATCCATCGACCGACTTTTCCTGTTATTCCTTTAGCACGCATTTTGTGCGCTATTACGCAATGGTCACACTTGTCGAAGGCTTTTGCAAAGTCTGTATATATTACATCTGCATTATTTTTGTCTTCTAGTGCATTTAGGACCTTGTCGTAGTGATCCAATAGTTGAGACAGACAGGAGCGACCTGTTCTAAACTCATGTTGCCCTGGGTTGTATAACTGATGGGTTTCTAGATGGGTGGTGATCTTGCTTCTTAGGACCCTTTCAAAGATTTTTATGATATGGGATGTTAGTGCTATTGGTCTGTAGTTCTTTGCTGTTGCTTTACTGCCCCCTTTGTGGAGTGGGGCTATGTCTGTTGTTTTTAGTAACTGTGGGACGACCCCCGTGTCCATGCTCCCTCTCCATAGGATGGAAAAGGCTCGTGATAGGGGCTTTTTGCAGTTCTTGATGAACACGAAGTTTCATGAGTCTGGCCCTGGGGCAGAGTGCATGGGCATGTCATTTATCGCCTGTTCGAAGTCATTTGGCGTCAGTAAATGGGATAGGCTTGTGTTAATCAAATTTTTGGGGCCAAAAAAAAAATCATTTTGATCTCACTTGTCTGGTTGGGGCTTGCAAAAAATGAGTCATATGGGACTTGAGTAGCTCACTCTTTTCCCTTGCTGTCATCTGTGTAGACCCATTTTGTTTAATTTGGGGGCCCCAAACGGGACTTGTTCTCGACTTCATTTGGCAAGAGAAGAAATTTTTGGGTTTCTTTCGATTCATTATGGTTTTTAGTTCTTCCCGCGATTCCTACTCCTATAAGTTCCTTTACTTAATTCGTGTTGCTATTTCCTTGCCCATGTCTCCCTACCTTTCAGATATATTGCCTCTTTTTGCCACTCGTTTTTTCTTTTTTTGTCGCCCGTAAAGGGAGGCCCGTCTCTTTCTATTTTTTTCATCACTCCTCCTTTTTCTTTAAAGGGAAAAAGCCTTTTCTACATCGGTGCCCCCAAGTTAATCTTTTCTAAAGGGATAAGTTGGGGTCTTTTTTCTTATAATTTCCCACTATTCGGTTAGGACTTGGTTTACTTGGTCCCACTTTTTTTTTTGTTATTGAATTGAATTTTGGGGAAAGCCCCTCGGCTATCTCATTATTCGGGCTGGGGCCCCCGCATACATTCTGAACCCCAATTATGTTGTGATGATATTTTTTTTGATATGGGACATTTTTTATCAGTCTCATTTTATGGATAGGTCTAGTGTATTCTCCAGTCTAGTAGGGTCTATTATTTGTGGTTTAAATTGAATTTTGGCAAGATTAAAAGCTCGTGTGATGTGGTTTCATCAGAGCTGCCCCCTGGGGTTTTACTGCAACAAAATTATTTGCTATACTGTTTCCTCCATTTTTGGTGCCTAAGTTGAAATCCCCCAGGAGCAAGATGTTGGGGGGCAGGACTGGAAAATTTTTCCCCACAGTGGTCAATTTTTAACAACTGTTCCTGGAAATTTCTGGGATGTTGCATCCCGGGGGCTTGTAGACTACCACAATGCAGGTTTTGGTTCCGCCTTTACTGCTAAAAACCCCCTACTCATTTGAGCATTAAGCATTCTGGCAAACAAGTGACTCTGCAATGTACAGCCCCCCCCCCCCCCCGTTTTGCCTGTTCACTCTGTCACATCTGTATAGGTTGTAACCTGGGATCCATATTTCGTTGTCCAAGTGATCCCTTATGTGGGTCTTAGTGAAAGCCGCGAACATTGCCTTTGCCTCTGCAAGCAGTCCACGGATGAAAGGTATTTTGTTGTTTGTTGCTGGCTTTAGACCCTGTATATTTGCAAAGAAGAATGTCATCGGACTGGTGGTATTGTTGGTACTGGGGGGGGGGATTTTTTTTCCGGCATTAGTATCTGTATCTGTTGGTTTGGAGTGGAGGCCATCGACTGTGGTTCCACTCCAGGAATGACTGGATTTGGTGTACGATTTCTGCCATTTCCTGCCAGTTTTTTTTCCTTCCTGGCACTAAAAAACCTCTCCCTCTTGAGTGGCTGTGACTACCCAGGTTTTCCCATGGCCTGGATGTTTTGTATCTTTTTGTCCCCTTTAGATAGTGTGCCTGGCAATTTAAGTTATAGTACAGTCTTTCCTGTACTGAAGAGGTACACAGTTCAGTGTGAAAAAGCTTACAGGAAGGGAATTTGCATTTTCCTGTTGTCATATGGGCATGGCATTTTCTATGCCTGCAGATACCAAGTGCATAGTATGTGCACAGGCTTGGTTTCCGTTTGCCTTGGGTTTCTGTGACTGTATTTCCTGTTGGTGCATGTTTCCCTGTCTTACTCCTATCCTCTCTAGCACCAACAATGGAGCTCCCACCAGTTGTTTTTGGTAATATATCCTCACTATTGCTAGTGGAGTCCTCTTGTTTGCTATTTCCTGCGGTATTTCTAGTTTGCAATATTGGTTTTATCTTATCTTTGACTACACTTGTTTCCCTACTACGGCTCCTGTCCCCTATGAGGTCATTTATATGTATTCCTTCCTGCGTATAATTCCCGACTACCTGGACATGAGAATATTCTGAGACAACCTGCCTTTCTAATTTAGCCATTGTTATTAGTGTAAAATTTGTGATATATTGTTTATTTACAGCTTCTTTGAACGTGTGATATAATGTACTGTACATTAGATATTTTGAAACTGTGACGTACCTTTTTAATAGTGCTACTCAGCAAACGTTATGTTGTAACCGTGACTTAATTAAACTTCTAGTTTAAGGGTTAAGGTTTCTATGCAAGCTAAGAAGGCAGGTGATGAAAGTTAGGGCTCACAGCATCGTGGTGGTGGAGAATCTGGAGCAAAGGCAAGGAAACTGGCGGTTATATAGGCGTCAGTGGATAGGGACGTGTAGCACTAACTCCAAGGCTGAGGGACTGGTTACCTCATCTTTTGTATATAGTTCTACTGTCTTCTAATTATGTCCTAGAATCTATATTGATGAAGCCACTGGATGGCGAAACGTCTACAATAAAGATATCCAGATGTTGCACATGTCTAAACTTTCATGTTGTCGGTATTTTATACCTTTCTTGCACAAGGTAGGTGATCATAATATGACAACACCTGCACCAGTAACGTAATAAAAGAGAAGAAGAAACACGGCAGAGATTAACATATGGCTGCCACCCAACTGAACATAGTATGTGGCAACAGCTGGCGTCAACATCCACCATTGCCATAGTTAACACAACTAAAACAGCCTTTATCCCAAACAAAGCTGCACCACCAATGAAACAACTTTTCTGTTAACTTTTTAAACATTGATCTATGCCGTCCATCAAAAACAAGAATGAATGTAAGCTATCTAATAACGTACAAAGTTCCAGGAAGAGTTATTGAGGTACGATTTTGTTAGCATTCTTAATCCGCAAGGATAGCTACCTAGGATAACCAAATAGCCAGTGTGTCATCGGGGACTTGTTTTCATTGGGGTTCTTTAATCTTGTTCCACAGCAGTCGGCTAACACCCAGGTACCTACTTACAGCTAGGTGAATACGGGTGTAGGGAAACATGCCTAATGTGTCACTCATGCCGGAAATTGATACAGGACCCTCAGTGAGTGAGCAGATGATGCGACCAGCCTAACCATCAAAAATGGCCGAATTTGAAGACATTGTGATGACCCATCAGCCATGTTATATGATATACAGGAAAAAAAAGTGGTCAAACATGAGGAAACTAACTACATCGGGTGAATTAGGAACTAATAGCCAGATAATAAAACTTTTTTTCATATAATACAGCCCTTCAAAATGAACATTTACTCAGCGTAGATGAAACTGAGCAACAAGAACATAACATAAAAAAAGAAGGAACACTGCAGCAGGCCTACTGGTCCATGCAAGGCAGGTCCAAGTCTCCTACTGGCTTAAGCCAGTGCCCCAACCTAGTCAGGTCAGGTCACATTCACTTAAGAAAGGAACACGGCAACTGACCTAGTAGCACAAGCTAATCAGGTCCAACTCGCACCCACCCACCCACACCCACTCGTGTATTTATCTAACCTATTTTTAAAACTGCACAACGTTTTAGCCTCTATAACTGTACTCGGGAGTTCGTTCCACTCATCCATAACTCTATTACCAAACCAGTGCTTTCCCATATCCTTCCTGAATCTGAATTTTTCCAACTTAAAAGCCATTGCTGCGAGTCCTGTCTATGCTAGATATTTTTAGCACGCTATTTACATCCCCCTTATTTATTTATTACTGGGAGCGCTTTGAAGTTCCAGAACCTGTACTCCCTGGAATGCAGGCAGGAGAGATACATGTTTATATACACCTGGAAAATCCTAGAGGGACTAGTACCGAACTTGCACACGAAAATCACTCGCAATGAAAACAAGACTCGGCAGACGATGCAACATCCCCCCAATGAAAAGCGCGGGTGGCACTAGCACGTTAAGAGACAATACAATAAGTGTCAGGGGCCCAAGACTGTTCAACTGCCTCCCAGCATACATAAGGGGGATTACCAGTAGACCCCTGGCAGTCTTCAAGCAGGCACTGGACAAGCACCTAAAGTCGGTATCTGACCAGCCGGGCTGTGGCTCGTACGTTGGATTGCGTGCAGCCAGCAGTAACAGCCTGGTTGATCAGGCTCTGATCAACCAAGAGGCCTGGTCACAGACCGGGCCGTGGGGACGTTGACCCCCGGAACTCTCTCCAGGTAAACTCCAGGTATTCCTGTCTTCCATTTATACACCGCAATCATATCTCCTCAAATTCTACGCCTTTCTAGAGAATGCAGATTCAGGTCCCTCAGTCTATCCTCGTAGGGAAGATTTCTGATACATGGGATCAACTTTGCCATCCTTCTTTGTACGTTTTCCAGAGCATTTATATCCATTCTTTAATATGGTGACCAAAACTGTGCAGCATAGTCTAAATGAGGCCTAACCAAGGATGTATAGAACTGAAGAACAACCTGAGGACTCCTATGATATGGAGCCAAGGATTCTGTTGGCTTTATTGTGAACACTTATTCACTGTTGTTTTGGTTTCAGATTACTGCTAACCAGAACTCCTAAATCTTTTTCGCAATCCATAATATTAAAATCTGCATTATTTAGTTTATATGTGGCATGGTTATTTTCCTGTCCAACATTTAGAACTTTGCATTTGTCTATATTAAACTGCATCTGTCACTTCTCTGACCACTGCATCAGTCTTATTTAAATCTTCTCGTCAGAATGAATTCGATAAATTAGACACATGTGCAACTCTTGGGTATCTTTATTGAGGAAACGTTTCGCCACACAGTGGCTTCATCAGTCCATACATAGGAGAAACTTGAAGAACAGGAGGAGAATGAGGTAATCAGTCCCTCAACCTTGAGTCGATGTGTTCAGTCCATCAATCTTGAGTAGAATACGGCAGATGAGCGGAGAAGCCACTGATGAAGCCACTGTGTGGCGAAACGTTTGCTCAATAAAGATACCCAAGAGTTGCACATGTGTTTAATTTATCAACATGTCGGTTCTCTGAACCATTCATCTACAAACCTGTCAGACACTGCAACTTCTTGGGATCTTAATACTTAGGAATTCTTCGCTTGCCTAATTCTTGGGCACAACCTACTTCCACATTGAACAAATGTAAAACCACCTATGACTGCTGCAACTCTCCTGCCATACGGTTTATAAGCTGCTTCTCCGCTCATCTGCCGTATTCTACTCAAGATTGATGGACTAAACACATCGACTCAAGGTTGAGGGACTGATTACCTCATTCTCCTCCTGTTCTTCAAGTTTCTCCTATGTATGGACTGATGAAGCCACTGTGTGGCGAAACGTTTCCTCAATAAAGATACCCAAGAGTTGCACATGTGTCTAATTTATCAACATGTCGGTTCTCTGAACCATTCATCTACAGAATGAATTCGATGGCCTATTTTGGTGTCATCAGCAAACTTGCTTATGTCATTCTTTATGCCCTCATGTATGTCGTTTATGTAGATTGTGAACAACAGGGTCCCAACACTGACCCCTGTGAAATTTGCCAGTCTCCAAGTAAACACTATGATGATATCACCGTTCTGTTTTTTTTTTTTTGTTTTTTTTGTAGATGTTTCGCCAACCATTGGCATTATAAATAAAATACTACAGTGGTTGGTGGATGAATTTGGGAGGATATGTAAAAGAAGGTAATTAAAAAAATGAACATTGGGAAAAGCAAGGTGATGAGGGGTAACAAAAAATTTAGGTAATGAAAGATTAGATAACAGATTGGAGAGAGGGAGTATGAAATAAGTGAATGTGTTCAGATATTTGAGTGGGGACTTGTCACCAGGTGGGTGTATGAAAGACGATGTGAACCATAGATGATGATGGGAAAAAGATGAGTGGTGCATTGAAGCATCTGTGGAGACAAACCCCTCAAGGAAGGCTCCTTGATGCTGGTGAGGGGCTCTTGATTCAGGGAATTGGATCTGTGCTCCAGTTGTACAAGGATACTTAAGGAATGCAAGATGGAGCTTAGTCAGCCATTAACGAGTGTATTCAATGCGTCCATCCTTACCAGTGTTGTGCCAGAGTTGTGGAAGATGGCTAATGTGGTTCCTATATTCAAATCAGGGGATAAGTCCACTCCTTCAAATTACCGTCCAATAAGCCTGACGTCTATAGTGGGCAAGTTATTGGAGTCAATTATAGCTGACATTATCAGAAGTCACCTTGAAGAGCATAACTTGATAAATGAATCTCAGCATGGATTCACGAGAGGTCGTTCCTGCCTGACAAACTTGCTGACGTTCTTCAATAGAACATTTGAGGCAGTTGACAGTGATAAGGAGTATGATATTGTTTATTTGGATTTTAGTAAAGCCTTCGACAGAGTACCTCACAAGAGACTTAAGAAAAGTGGCAGCTCATGGTATAGGAGGTAAAGTTCTAGCATGGATTGAGGCATGGCTTACCAATAGAAAGCAGAGGGTTAGTTTGTGCCACTGACCAGTGCTTGTTACATCTTTGTTTTTGAGTATTTATGGCCCATCCATACAGAGAGGCACTATTGTCTTGTCATGAGTTTAAGACTGAGGACTCAAATATTTTGCATTCTGGTAGGATTACTTTTCTTTCATTTCTGTTTAATGAACATGTTTGATGATGGTAAATATTACTCTCAGTATACACTTATCCTTACTTACATATATGACAGTTCTTATTCCTGTAATGTTTTGTTTCCTATATTGATGACAGGTCTTGGACCAGGCTGTGGGGCCCTATAATACCTCAGAACTTTTAACAGATTCGAGAGAGAGCCTAACTAATAATTATGATAAGTGCTACAATATTGTGTGTAATAAATATTTTATGGTTTAATAACAAGTAAATATCTTTCCCCAATAGGTTGAAGATGTGTACAGCAATGTCTTTGATGGAGTGAGCAAGCCAGTAAACACTGTAGGAAATGAATGTGGCATCGTCATAAATTCTGCTGACATTGGACACCATGGCCAATGGACGTGCAAAGTTTTTGTTGTTGGAAAGTCCCTCGTTGGAACCAAGAATGTGATAGTTACTAGTAAGTAAGGTTACTTATTGTATTACTCTTCCAGTTTAGTCTAAGGAAATACAGTATTAGACAAAAGCAAACTGGAACCAAATCATTTAGTCATATTTGTAAAAAGCAAACCAAATGTCAGACAAAATACAAAGAATTAAGAATGACAACATAACTGCAGAAATGGAAGAGGAAATTTGAGGTACTAAAGTTTACAAAAGATAGTTGATATGTAGTAGATCTATAACCCAAACAGAAAATTGAGTTAGAGGTTGTTGAGGTACCCAAAGAGGTAGTGAAGATATTATTTTTGGAGGTTGACAAGAAAAATGCAATAGAATCAGATAAGATAATACCTGCAGTTTTTAAATAAATCACAAAACTGCAATATTGGCTTTAGAAATATTTTAGGATTTCCCTATATGAGGGTAATTTGACAGGCTGATGGAAGGTGACATACATTGTGCCAATACAATGCTATTTAAAAAAGTTGACTGGGAACTTTCTGTAAACTATATGCCAGTTTTACTTGTAAGCATAAAAATATTGGAAAAAGATACCAGAGAAAGTGAATAAGAATCTAGGAGAGGAATAACTTACTGACCAAAAAATTTGGCTTCAATTCAGCTGAAACTAAAGCAAATATATGCTGCATGCTAACTAGTGTAAAATAGCTTTGAAATATGGATGGATGGTTGTTAATAAGCTTAACTACATATATATGAAAGATTGAATATCAGATTGGAGGGAGAGAGTATGGAGGAGGTGAACGTATTCAGATATTTGGGAGTGGACGTGTCAGCGGATGGGTCTATGAAAGATGAGGTGAATCATAGAATTGATGAGGGAAAAAGAGTGAGTGGTGCACTTAGGAGTCTGTGGAGACAAAGAACTTTGTCCTTGGAGGCAAAGAGGGGAATGTATGAGAGTATAGTTTTACCAACGCTCTTATATGGGTGTGAAGCGTGGGTGATGAATGTTGCAGCGAGGAGAAGGCTGGAGGCAGTGGAGATGTCATGTCTGAGGCAATGTGTGTGTGAATATAATGCAGAAGAATTCGTAGTTTGGAAGTTAGGAGGAGGTGCGGGATTACCAAAACTGTTGTCCAGAGGGCTGAGGAAGGGTTTTGAGGTGGTTCGGACATGTAGAGAGAATGGAGCGAACAGAATGACTTCAAGAGTTATCAGTCTGTAGTGGAAGGAAGGCGGGGTAGGGGTCGGCCTAGGAAGGGTTGGAGGGAGGGGGTAAAGGAGGTTTTGTGTGCGAGGGGCTTGGACTTCCAGCAGGCATGCGTGAGCGTGTTTGATAGGAGTGAATGGAGACAAATGGTTTTTAATACTTGACGTGCTGTTGGAGTGTGAGCAAAGTAACATTTATGAAGGGATTCAGGGAAACCGGCAGGCCGGACTTGAGTCCTGGAGATGGGAAGTACAGTGCCTGCACTCTGAAGGAGGGGTGTTAATGTTGCAGTTTAAAAACTGTAGTGTAAAGCACCCTTCTGGCAAGACAGTGATGGAGTGAATGATGGTGAAAGTTTTTCTTTTTCGGGCCACCCTGCCTTGGTGGGAATCGGCCGGTGTGATAATAAAAATAACATATATTAGGCCAAAAATTGGAATATGCAATTGCTGTGTGGTGTTCACACCTGAAAAAGAAATTTGGATTAGACTAAATTTCAAGGAAGAGCTACAAAGTATGACTATGGCAAAAGGTTGAGAGCACTAAAGATGCTCTCACTGGTTGACACAAAAGGAGTTATGATAGGTACAGTTTCTCCTCACTTAGCGACGTACTTGTTTAGCGACGCCTTGGACTTATGACTGGCTCTCTGACCAGTATTTATACCTAAATATAATGTATATTAGAGCTGATTTCCTCAATTCTGTTTATTACAGTTTGCAATACACTGCTGTATAACCATTTAAAAATATTCTAGAAATGTTATAAATGGTGTAAAGGTGACATTAAAACAATATCAAAGATGGTTGACACATCCACAAATCGTTTAGCGATGAATTCGTTTACCGATGGGGTCTTAGGTCCCTGTCTCCGTCATTAAGTGAGGAGAGGCTGTATTAGGTTGGAAAATTATATGAAACACTAGATAAGGTTTTCAAGTATCTTCAGCAAAGTAACCAAGAGGCCAGATATAAATTAGTGGGTAAGAAAGTGGAGCTGAAGGGATGCTTGGAATAATTTTACAAACAGAATTGTTGAAGAATGTGATAAATTGGAAGAGAAAGTATTAAGTGCAACATCCATTTGAAATTAAAAAAAAAAAACCATGGGCATGGTTTTGTTTCTGTAGCTACAAATGGGTACTTGTTAGGGATTCCTGTAATGCTGGATTTTCATTCTCTCGATACTAATTTCATTTTGATTTTTGTGACTTGTTTGAGGTGTCACTTTTAATTTTTGTGACGATATTTTTTCATATTAAAATGTTCAGCAGTACAAAAATGTTCAACAAGTGATTTAACTAAAGTAAAGTAAAATAAAAGGTTTATTTCTCTGTAAAGGTTACAGTATGTAATTACAATTTTGGTTTGCTAAGTAAAAAGAAAGCCACTATCATGCTGGGGCATGATTAATTATTATTAACTTTGTTTTTTATCAGTGTTAATACTGTAATATATGGAATATAACAACATGGTAGTACTTTAAAATTTATTATGATACTGCATTATTATAAATGTTCACTTTAATGCAAGCTATTTAATGCATTACTATTTTAGTTAGAATTAAATTAACTGTTTTGTTAAATGTGAAAATTTATACAATGTCAAAAGACATGAACCAAGCAATGTCTCATTCTCAATATTAATTTATTTTTCAGTAAAGCCTACTAGTCCAATCCTTGAAGTGGATAGCAGCCGAGGTTTAGTAGTGACAAATGAGGATGAAACGCCAGTTAAATGCTCAGTAGCGGCAGCTAGGCCGGCCGTTGGCATCCGTTGGTACTTGGGAGATAGAGACATTACTGTATCTGCTGAAACAGAAGAAACACCAACAGACAAAGGGGTGAGGATTCCTTTAAATGAAATAATATTAAGTTGCAGGAGAGATAATTGAAATAATATATGCTAAGACACCTTATGAAAGAAGCATTGTAGAATAGAACGGTGAACACATGATACAGTGCGATATAAATAGAGGAGAAAATATGCAAGCATGTTGGCTAAAAATGTTTGAAGGTCATTGTCAGTTCAAAGATTTTTAAAGAAAATTAAGGCTTAGATGTTACTTGATAACTTGCTGTATGCTGTGTTGAGCACATCATGCTTGGTGGAGCTTATTTTATAATAGATAGGTGATATAACAAATTTCATTATATACTTAGATTATGCTGCACTTTGTTCTGGCAAATAAGGAATGTCTGATAAACCATTTTGAGGTTAATGATGAGCTTGGAGGAAGGGATCACAAATTACTGTCAGTATTTCGTGGAACTATCTAAATAACGATAAAGTTAAAGCTCTTAGTTTTTGTGTCACTTTTAAGATGAGAGGTTACCTGAACAGTGTTGATTGAGGTTACTTCTCTAGGGTTTATCAGGGGAGGCCTGACAGCTGTTGGTGATGGCTACCAATATGGCATGACCTTAAATGCACAAATAACTCGCATATAGGAGAATGTAACTGAAAACAATACGTATTTACCTGAAGAGGGTTTCGGGGGTCAATGCCCCCACGGCTCGGTCTGAGACCAGGCCTTATGGTGGATCAGGGTGTGATCAACCAGGCTGTTAGTGCTGGCCGCATGCAAGCTGACGTATGAACCACAGCCTGGTTGGTCAGGTACTAACTTTAAGTGCCTGTCCAGTGTCTTCTTAAAGACAGCCAGGGGTCTGTTGGTAATCCCCCTTATGTATGCTGGGAGGCAGTTGTGTGACATTTATTGTGTTGTCTCTCGATGTACTTGTGGCGCTCTGCTTTTCATTGGGCGGAATGTTGCATCTGCTGCCGAGTCTTTTGCTTTCATAGGGAGTGATTTTCATGTGCAGGTTTGGTACCAATTCCTCCAGGACCTTCCAACTGTATACGTATCATCGTGTATCTCTCTTGCCTGCATTCCAGGGAATACAGATCAAGGACCTTCAATCGTTCCCAGTAATTTAGGTGCCTTATGGTACTTACTTGTGCCATGAAAGTTTATTGTATACTCTCCAGGTCCACAATGTCGCCAGCCTTGAAGGGAGCCGTTAGTGTACAGCAATATTCCAGCCTAGGGAGCACAAGTGATTTGAAGAGAACCGTAATGGGCTTGGTGTGTCTAGCCTTACGATATTAATTCATTCCAGAAGTCTGTTCGGGTGCCGTTACCGAACGAATTTGTTCCCATAAGGAATATTGTAAGTTAGATTAGTCCGTTTCCGACCCCCAAAAATACACGTAGAAAAGCACTTGCAAAAATGCACGTACATAATTATTCGAGTTGGGCGCTGATTATAAGGCAGGGGTCCACTGTATATACACAAGACGTACCTGAAATCTTGCACGTTTGAGACAAAAAAGACACCAGCTCTCCTACCATCATGTAAAACAGTTACAGGCTTCTGTTTTACTCACTTGGCAGAACTGTAGTACCTTCTTGGGCAATTGCACTCTACCAGTCTACTACCTAGGATTTTTAAACTGATAATGGTCATCTTCCTATTTGTTTTACTTAATGCTATATATTTCTAGTAAACAAATACAGTACTGAACATGTCCTTAACCGCTAAACGGTCCAAACGTATGTATACGTTCACTCGCGTAGCGCCCCAAATTTTTTGAGGAAAAAAAAAAAATTAATAGGAAAAGAGAGTACGTATATGGTACCCAGGCATCATCAATTATTTTAATATGGTGCACAGTGAGTGTGCACACCCATTCTCTCATGTCTAGGTGACTCAGGCTAATTGTGGCAGTGTTGAATGAATGACAAAGAAAACGTATACTATATACGTTTGGGACGCTACGCACGTGAATGTATATATACGTTTGGACCGTTTAAGGGTTAAATATTTAAAAAAAAAAAAAATTCTCAACAAACCGGCCGTATCCCACCAAGACAGGGTGGCCCAAAAAGAAAAAAAACTTCTTAAATTTAGTAATCTATACAGGAGAAGGGATTACTAGCCCCTTGCTCCTGGCATTTTAGTCGCCTCTTACAACATGCATGGCTTACGGAGGAAGAATTCTGGTCCACTTCCCCATGGAGATAAGAGGAAATAAACAAGAATAAGAACTAGAAAGAAAATAGAAGAAAACCCAGAGGGGTGTGTGTATATATATGCTTGTACATGTATGTGTAGTGTGACTTAAGTGTAAGTAGAAGTAGCAAGATGTATCTGAAATCTTGCATGTTCATGAGACAGAAAAAAGGACACCAGCTGTATACAGTACCAATGTGTAATCTTAGTATGATTTTGTATTTTTTCAGGGAATCTACAAGAGTGTGTCAACTCTGAGACGGACCTTTCAGCCTTCAGAAAATGGGCAGCTCTTAACTTGCAGTGTTACGCACAAGACACTTCCTGTGCCAGAAAATACTAGTATAGCTCTAAATGTTGTATGTAAGTACTGTACAATTAATGTTTGTAAAATAATGACTGCTCTTGTTTCTGAGAGCATAGCCACAAATCAGGGGTATGTTTCTGTGCATGATCTGTTTACTTTTCGAAGCGTTTTCGATAGTGGATTGAGCTACAATGAGATTTTCAATGATGGTCCCATTCAATCAATCTGCTTGTTATGCACTACTCTATAGTGCTCTTCATGTCTTGGGAGACCGAGTCACTTGTATACGTACCTGTTGCCCAAGGCACAATGGTTTTTTTTAGTTTGCTGTCCATATGTTAATCTCAAGCCCCCAACAAAGTTGAGTAGCACTTGACTGAGAGTCACTGAAGCAATAGTTTGCGCACCAACCAAATACGTGCAGTTTAACCCACGTTTACGTGCGTAGCGCTCCAACCTTGATTTTCCCAATTTGAAAGCATATAAAAAAGTAGATCTATGTTTGGAGCCTGCAGCATGTCAATGTATATCTACGTTTGGACAGTTTAACCCTTTGGGGGTCGACAGGTCCTCTCAGAGACTTGTTCCCAAGGTTGGCCAAATTTAAAAAAAAAAAAAAAAATTTTCTTATGAAAAGATAGAGAATCTTTTCCTGATCATAATGACACCAAAAGTATGAAATTTGATGGAAAACTTACGGAATTATGCTCTCACGAAATTAGTGGTCTCGACGATGTGTATGCATCTGCGATTTTGCCCACTTTGAGCCCTATTTTCAGCCAATTCCAGTGTACTAGTCGATTGAGTACAAGAAACCACTCATTTACCGATTTCAACTATCCAATAAAGTGGTCGGAATTTAGCAATTTTGCCAAATTCACACAAATTTCAAAAGATGCCAATTTCCGAATAGGGTTCAGAATAAACACGAAAGACATTCCTGGCACTAAAATAACAAGTTCTCTGTTCATTAATCACATCCCCAGGCCCCACTTATATTTCTTTGGCTTTCCACTTTGAATTCTTATTCTTACAAAAAATAGAAGATTTACTGTTATGCAGACTACTGCATTAATGTAGAAATGGTATAAATAATATCAGTGCACTTGTGAAAGAATATAAGACTCGCTAGTTGACGTGTATTGGATGCTTGGTATGATTTGTTTACTTTTGAACTTTGGTAAAAATCGAACATTTCTGCTACTTTGAGCTCAATTTCACGGTATTTTTCATTGTGAAACCAGTCAAAATTATCTCAATTTCTGTAACATATTTTCCATTCTATAAAATGAGACAAGGAAAACTAGAATACAAACATAAATACCATACAAAAATACAGCGCAAAGTCGCTGTTTTAATCCAAAAACAGTCAGTTTTTTTTTCTCATTACACACTGTGTGCTGCAGGATTTTTTTTATACTGCGCACACTTACCACATAGACCCATTCTTTCATATGTAGGCCTACCAGCTTTCTCTCGCTAGATTTGAAGGCGCTAGAATTTAGGCGTACTAGTACGTCAATAACCCTGGTGCGTAAGCCGTACTAGTACGTCGAAAACCCTGAAAGGGTTAATGCAGCAAAATGAGTTTGTGAAATGCAGATTTCTGGAAATACTACGTATTTTTTATATTTCATCTATAATACTGATCACACTCAATGTTAGACTTCTTACTGAGCAGAGGGTTCAAACTTGTAGGAATCCAGTCCTGAAAATTAATAGGCCAGTGCATTTGCCTCTGTTATGATGATGACTATGGGACCCATGTTAATATTCCTAGTATGTATAGAAAAAATACACCAGATTTTTTTTTTTTAACAAGTCAGCTGTCTCCCACCGAGGCAGGGTGACCCAAAAAAGAAAATACTCTCATCATTCAACACTTTCACCTCACTCACACATAATCACTGTTTTTGAAGAGGTGCTCATAATACAACAGTTTAGAAGCATAACAAAGATACATAACATATCCCTCCAAACTGCCAATATCCCAAACCCCTCCTTTAAAGTGCAGGCATTGATTTGATGTATGTTATTAAATCACCATGGTCTAGTGGATAACACATTAGCCTGCTAGTTTTAGGATTGGCTTGCCAGGGATTTAAACCCTTTGTTCGGGCTTACAAACTTGTCATTGCAATATCTTGAGTGATACTGGTCATGAAATATCGTGTATGTATCCATGCCCTTGAGTGCTTTTGTATTTTTTTTATACTGTACTGCTGAGTTTCCAAACTTTACCCTAGACCACCATTTATGGGCCATGCACTCCGACCTCCATTTATGGATTGTCTACCAATATTGCAGAAAAAGTGGTACCCAAATGTGAATAATTAATTAAAGCTAATAGGGGAGATCTTTCAGAAAAAAATATTGTATTATTGAAACATTAATTAAGAAGCAAAAGAAGAAAATTGAAAGTGAATACAGGAAAGAGTAAGGTTATGAGGATAACAAAAAGATTAGGTGATGAAAGATTGGATATCAGATTGGAGGGAGAGAGTATGGAGGAGGTGAATGTATTCAGATATTTGGGAGTGGATGTGTCAGCGGATGGGTCTATGAAAGATGAGGTGAATCATAGAATTGATGAGGGGAAAAGGGTGAGTGGTGCACTTAGGAGTCTGTGGAGACAAAGAACTTTGTCCATGGAGGCAAAGAGGGGAATGTATGAGAGTATAGTTTTACCAACGCTCTTATATGGGTGTGAAGCATGGGTGATGAATGTTGCAGCGAGGAGAAGGCTGGAGGCAGTGGAGATGTCATGTCTGAGAGCAATGTGTGGTGTGAATATAATGCAGAGAATTCGTAGTTTGGAAGTTAGGAGGAGGTGCGGGATTACCAAAACTGTTGTCCAGAGGGCTGAGGAAGGGTTGTTGAGGTGGTTTGGACATGTGGAGAGAATGGAGCGATACAAAATAACTTCAAGAGTGTATCAGTCTGTAGTGGAAGGAAGGCGGGGTAGGGGTCGGCCTAGGAAAGGTTGGAGGGAGGGGGTAAAGGAGGTTTTGTGTGCGAGGGGCTTGGACTTCCAGCAGGCACGCGTGAGCGTGTTTGGTAGGAGTGAATGGAGACAAATGGTTTTTAATACTTGATGTGCTGTTGGAGTGTGAGCAAAGTAACATTTATGAAGGGGTTCAGGGAAACCGGCAGGCCGGACTTGAGTCCTGGAGATGGGAAGTACAGTGCCTGCACTCTGAAGGAGGGGTGTTAATGTTGCAGTTTAAAAACTGTAGTGTAAAGCACCCTTCTGGCAAGACAGTGATGGAGTGAATGATGGTGAAAGTTTTTCTTTTTCGGGCCACCCTGCCTTGGTGGGAATCGGCCAGTGTGATAATAAAAAATAATAATTAAGAAGCCTATGAATTTGAGGGTAAAGGGTTTGCCTGCATACACTTAATACTTTCATCAGCCCTGTTAATAACAACTTTAAGGAAAGAAAGTTTACCTTTGGCTTCAAATTTGTGTTCTAATTTGTTGGAAGGATCCAAATTACTGTACATGTTTAAGGTAGTCTCATAATGTCTAGAATGTATGTATGTATGTATGTGTGTGTGTGTGTGTGTGTGTGTGTGTGTGTGTGTGTGTGTGTGTGTGTGTGCACGTGCACGTGCACGTGTGCGCGCGCGCAGCAGAAATTGGTGAAATTTTTGGGTATTACTCCAAAACAAATTTGTGTATAGAATAATTACCCACTAGATTTGAAAGTCCACAGAATCCTGAAAACACAAGGGATACAAATAAGAGATCTCAAAAAACAGAATAGAATATAAAATTAATAGAAAACTGCCAAACATTATTATGAGCACTTTCAAATATCTATAAATAGAATCATAAATTCTAATAAAAAATAAAATAGAAATTTGTGCAGTTTTATTTGTGTTTGAGCCTTCATTACCCCCGAGATTTTCATTTTTACCCCATTTGGGGTAATTTACCCCAATTTTCCGACCTAGGATATAGAGCTTCTGGTTGGTTGGGGAGTTAAAAATATATATATTTTTTTTTTCATGTATTTACCTGTCTACCCAATTTGACTGATATACTTTTTTCCTGGTACATTTTCTGTCCTGAACTGCAGTGACAAATTTTAGTCATTACTCATTGCTTGTGTCACTTTTTACTTCTTGAATTAGCAATCAGGGTTTTCTTTATTCATCTTGACCAGTATCTTAAGATGTCAGTTACAATATAGTCTTGTCATGTCTTGTTTGAAGAGTTGTCTGTTCTGTTGGTCTCTATCAGGGTAAGTAAGCTAACTTATTTCTGGAATGATTTTTATTATTGTGTAGTAAACTTTCTCCATTAATATGAAACCTACATTTTTCTGTTGGTACATATTGCCTCTTGGAGAAATTTTCAGTTTTCTAGAAAAATATTGCTCATCATTGAACTAATAAGATCCTTTTTAATTTTCAGTCAAGCCAGTGGAGAAGCCTGTTAGCACTTTTTACCAAATCAGACCTGGTAATGATTATGAAGTGAAACTGAATTTTTCTGCCAATCCAGCACCCATAAGGAAGGAATGGAGATATGGTAAAAGTTTTGAGAATGTTGAAGGGTCCATCAGCATTCCTGGGTCAGATGGTCATTACAGAGCAGACATTGAGGTAAGTAAATGGTGCTTACTTTTTTGTGTATGCAATTTGGTATACACACGATACACAGTTCTTTAATATGGTAACAGAATTGTTGTTTATAGCGGTTTAAACCTGTCATATAACTATACTATTGTGTAAGATGTTCACTTAGTTTATTCTTTCTTTGTATCTTTTTACCAGGATTTAGGCAATGGAATGTACACGGCAAAGCTTCTTGTTACTGGTTTTACAGAAGCTGATGCTAACAAGAATTATTTGTTGGTAGTAGAGAATGATTATGGAGAAACCCAATACAAGGTCAAGCTTTCCATGCACGAAGCTCCTAAAGGTAAATGTATAACAGTCATACAGAAAAAATACAGCAATAAAAACATTTTAAGTTGTCAGATTAAAAAAAATTGTTTTTGCATGGACATTATGTAATTCATTCTTCTGCTTGAATGAATTATTTAAAGTCTAGAATAGAAATGTGCTAAAATGAAAAGAGAACCAGTGTGTACAAGAGACTCCCAGTGGATGTCTAAGGTGTGTGACGTATGTATTATCCATGTGAGCCGCATCACCATTAGGTGTCTGCTTTAATCTGGTGATTTTTTTTTTTTTTTTGGGTGTCTTATGTTTGCATCTTGATAACCTTCCTTTGCATGTGCAGGGTTTTAAATGTGTAATAAGGCAATTTTATAAATGTTTTAAATATGTTGGAAATATAATGCTTATGGGTTTGGTAATAACAGATTTTTTATTCATTGTTCTTGCTTGTTTTTCTCCCTTTCCTCGTCAACAGAACAGAGTAAGTACACCGTATAGTGTTCTTGTCCATGTCCATTATTTGTTTTGCATGTAATTATATATACTGTCATTAAACAAGTATTTTTTTATTTTGCTTGGCATACATTGATTCAAGGACATGGCAAGAATGCTGAAATAAATCTTTTTCTATTATGATTCAAAGTATTGAGTGATAACAATGACAAACTAGTCTATCTAGTTTGATTGCACTTGCACTCACTAGCTAAATTAACACTGTTAAACTTGACACTTTTAATAATTACTGTAACTAATGTCCTGTTAACTTACTCATCACCAGTTAACACACACTACCATGCAAAGTCCTTAACATGTTCATGATGCGAGTCAGATTGAAGTGAAACCTAAGCTCTGAAAAAAATATTTTGCTTATAAATGGGGAATTATTGGCACTGGTATCTAATATGTCTAACATAGTATTAAAAAAAAAATCTTGATTTTATATCTGGATTAATTCCTATGGCTGGAAAGTACGGTAATGCAAATTTAATAACACATGCCATCGTGTAATACGGTTTGTAGTTCAGAAGTTTTCTATCAAGTGTTGTACTGTACACCACTGGTAGAAACCTATATGAAGGATGATATTAAAGGTCATGCCATCATGGCACAAAAGTTAGCATTGCTGACCACTAATCTACCAGACATTGTTTAATCCCTGGCATTTTAGAGCAAGCACAGGTCACCCCACTTAGATAGGTAGAATGGAAATCGACTTGACATGAAGAGTAATGCCACAATGTTGTGATAGGCCTAATGAACTAGTAGTACTGAACATGGCTTCGACTTGCATTGATAGAGAATTAACATAGCAATAGGTGGTATTAGTACTGTAAGTCTAGCTTCTAATAATGCACAGTGAATCTGGTTGACATGACAAGAACTCACGAAGACAATATTTATCATTCACTTTTTAATCCAGATTAAAACATTGCCATATATTAGTGGTCTTTTGATAGACCATAAAAAGAAGTTAATATATATTGCTTACCTACTCTGTGTCTGTTTTTTCCTTGCTTTGAAACTTCCTACTACCAAAAGTTCGTTATTGTCTCACTTTGCATCCATTGTGGTGTAACCTCAGTGTGTGTCTTGTCTCTTCCCTAGATGGTGACTCTGAAACAAGCAACTATGACAAAATCCCACCCACAGAGTTATCAGTGTCTGAAGGTATTGTTTTCGATGATGAGACGAAGTCAAGTAAGTCAGGGTGCTAACGTCCCTCCTTGCCGAGCCAGTTGCCTCGTTCTTTCGTAATCTTGCTACTTCTGCCGCTCTCAGACACTGTTCTTGTTATGTTAACTAACAGTTTTTACATTACCCAATGACCCACTTACTAACATCTTTCAAGATCCTTGACATAATAGTTGACAAGCTATGGGAAGATAGACTAATCTGTTTGGAAGGTCCTCTGGGAATCATTTGTATGTGGGGTAAGATATATTTATTTTGCTTCTCAGATTATGGTCATAATTAGTGCATGAAGCATGCATAATAAAAAAAATGTAGGTACGTTTGTATGTACATATTGTGAAAGTAAAAAATTGTGAATGATTAATTTCATGGACAAGAGTGATGGACAGTTAATCTGGTGAAGTATTCACAAAGGTCTAGTGGTTCCAGGATCTCCAAATAATAGTGAGTTCAGCAACAGTTGAGGCCTCTCATGTAGAGATCTAAAGACACTTGCCTAGTTGCTACAGCTGTTTGATTGCAAATGCACAGTTGACAATTCACTCACTTTTACTCCTCTCACAGTATGTTGCTTTCACAATATAGCTAAGTTCTCATTTCTTATACTGTTCTGTATTTGCAGTACATTGTATATAGAATGAGAATATGTATACATTACTTCAGAATTTTCAGAGCATTGGTTCAAAATTCCAGTTACTCGCCTGGTTGATTTGATGAGTGGGACCCTTAGATAAAATTATTTTATAATAGCTACGGGTACTGAACAAAGAAAAATTGTGGAGAGGGTTGATCCATTACCTAATAAAAGAATTAAAACAAAAGTAAGTTTACTATGCAGAACTTTAATGTAGTAAACCCTCAATTTGACAGACTAATAGGGAAGGGCAGGTGACAGGGAAAGGCAATTCTGGTGGATAGGGAAGTGTGTGTTTTGCCATAATCATAACAGTATTGGACATGTTTGTTACCAACAGACTGTCTTTTTCAGGATCACTTGAAACTGAAGATTTTGTCAATTATTTATGAGCTCATTAAATCAAGGTCTGTTTAATCTAGGGCTCATGCTACCAATATTAATTAGAGCAGAGGACAGAGGAAGTGAATGTATTTAGATACTTGGGAGGCGATATGTCAGTAGATGGTCTGTAAATGAGTAAGATAGGGATAGTGGAAGAAGGTAGCCAGGGAGGGGGGGATTGAAGAATATGTGGAAAGAAAGCAGTTTATCGGGGTGGAGTACAAAAACAATGGAACGTGTGAATTAGCTGAACAATTGGATGAGTAGAGAGTGTTGAGGTGTGGATGTAAGATGTGCTATAATAAAGCAGAGGTTAATTTTGAATTAATCCAGCTTATAAAATTATGGACATGCATTGATTTGTACAGATTTAAATGTACACTTATTGTTTTTGAAAATCACATAATAACTTGTATTTTGGGGGGGGGGGGAGAGACTTTTAGGTACAATGATTGCATACAAATTTCAAGGTCAGAAAAGTATTTCACTACAGTATATATGTATGTAGAAGGCAGGCGTTGTGGTGGTACATACATGTTTCATAGTCATGGAAAGAGGTAATGGAATAGTTGTGATGAGGTTTGAGTCTGGTACTGGTATTCTCTGAAAAATAGTAAGGCATTACCAACAAGATGTGGAAAAAGACACTTATGTGTATGTGTCTTTCTCCACACCATCTTTTTCTTTAGAAATCTAAATAACTTCTTGTGCATAATTGTTGAAATTTACTAAAGTAAATGATTTAAGGTTGAAAATTGGAAATTCCTTTGAAAAAGGCTCATGAAGAGCAGTTGTGAAAAGTATCTTGTAAGAGATGTTGCCTAAAGTGGAAATATATTTCATGAAGAATATAGAGAATAATAAACTTACAAAACTAGAAAATTATACTGTAGCATGGTGTCTGCATCTATTGCCTAGAAGGTTTGGCCAGGAACTGAATCTCAGCTCCCACGAGCACAACACAGGTGCACTTTGATGACAAACAAAAAAGAAAAGGCTGAGCTGTAAAGGAGGAAGACATTTTGAGATCATTCACAAAATTGAGACAGCAAGTTTCATCAGTCTTACCATCTACAGGGTTTTATTATTGCATGATTTACGTTGCATGTGTGTATCTCTTCTTACATGCTTGTCTTTATTCACAAATGCAGTTTTTTCTCCCAAGTTTTTCTGTACTCAGATTGTTGCAGTCTATTTAGTGTTATCTGTTCATCAGTACTGTACGAAGTTAGCCCTGACTTATATTGTCGTCTGTTCATTGAACCCTTTTGTTTTGTATATTTTCAAAATAATTTGTTTAAAAAGGTATAAAACATTTTGAAATGATAGGTATATTCACATATACCTTCACTTGTAAAAATTTTGGTAAATCATTGATAAATTTTTTTTATAACTGCAGACACCTTGAGTGGAGGAGCAGTTGCAGGCATCATTATTGTCCTCTTGATAGTGGTAGCAGCCGTGGGTGCTGCAGGATATGCACGGTACCGACAGATGTTCTGCTTTGGTAAGTACATTTAAAATGTGTAGCTTTTGTACATGTGTAGGTTTTTCTATAGTAACTAGACTTGGTCTGCTGTTGATTTTTGCGTGTTTCACCCGGTGAGATTTCTGAAGCTTTTGAAATGAAAATAAATATCAAAAAAATATCGAGTTACTGCAGTAAAACCTAGCCATTTTATATTAGTGTGTGCAGCGCTGTAACACCCATATGGGTTTAGCGCCTCCTTTTAAATGTAACGACAAGGTAGTAATAGGTTGATGGGATTACTAGAAATTTAATAATTGTAATGTAAAACAAATGATATGCCATTATGCACGTATTGGTGCAGTGTGTGGTTATCAAATATAATAGTTTCCAAGAGTCACAGGGTGTTAATTTAGCTTTAGGATTACATCTTTTTGTACACTCTTAGGAAAGCCCTTTGTGTAAAACATAGTGGGAAAATTAAAATAATACTTACTAACTACTAAATATTAGTGCTGGTATTTAGATAAGGATTGTGACAGGTAATTTAAGTTTTGTGTGACAGTTCAGCATGAGTGTTTTCTGCAAAATAACAAATTAATTTAGATTACAATAGAAAGGTAGCTGTTGACTAAGGTAGTTTTATAAGATATAGTTGACTTAGTAAGTCTTTATAATTATTGCATTACTATTACATTATAATGGGTCAATTGCTCTATATGAGAGAGAACTGCAGCATCATCCTAAAAGTGTCCATTATCTGAGTAGTTTCCATAAATGTGTACTATTAAAAATATACATATTAGAATTTTATAGCAATCCACCTGTCTTCCTGAGGTAGAGTGACCTAAAAAAATGAAAGTCACAATCAGTAATGCCATCACTGTCTTGCCTGAGGCAATTGAATTGAATCTAACCAGCCTGAAGGACAGAAAGACCAGGAGAGACTTCAAGAGTATACTACAAAATACTCCCTGAAATTGGTAAGGCATATAGGAACAGGCTGTTTAAGAGATGAGAGGTAGGGACTGGGGAGCATAGCTGGAAGTTAGACACATACGAGTCACAAACGTTAGAAAGTACGTATTTCTTCGGGTGGGGGGGGGGGGGGAATTGAATAACTTCAACAAAGAAGCGATGGAGGCAAACTCCATTAGTCGATTTTAAGAATGGGTACAAAAGAGTCCATGAGACTAGGTGTGTGTGAATCTGGTGAACAGCAAGTGAAGAGGTGGGGCTAGAGCTGAGGCTCAACCCCTGCAACTACATATAGGCAAGTATTGTCCCATTACATATATGGTAAAGTACATTTTTTTTCCCTAAGGCTGTTTAGAGAGGGCATTTTGATCCTTCTGGTAGAGTGTTCCAAATTTTGCATTGAGTGTTTACCAGGGGTTGAGTTGCTCACATGGTATATCGAAATGAGATTGATTTCTAGTAGCATTGATATATCCGTTGCAGCGTTCCAGCGATTGTATTGAGTGTTCTTCATGTGTAACATGCACAGTAGTATATGTTAAGAGGTATGCTGTTTGGAATCAGATTGACAGATTGTTCTAATAGCAGTGTTTGTTTGGTTTTAAGCGATTTTTTTTTATAGATCCCTCATAGGTAAGGTTATTTATTTATTTTTATTTTGTCTTTGCAAACAGTACATTGAGATTTTGTATTTACAATGGTAGGTTTCAATGCAGAGAGAGCCTCTATTATGCCTAGGCATTATGGGCCAACTTAACATTATTGACTTACAGACTACTTAACATTAAGGATTATATCATAGTTGTACAGTAGGATAGTAATTATTTCATAGTTGTAGATAGATTAACCCTTTAACTGTCCAAGCAGATCTACGTTCACATGCGTAGTGCTCCAAGAGTAGATCTGTTTTTTTTTACATATTTTCAAATATAACAAAAAAAAAAAAACGTAGATCAATGTTTTTTTTTACACTTTCAAATGAAAAAAAAGAAAAGATTACTTTTTTTACATATTTTCAAATGTTGAAAAAACGTAGATCTACGTTTGGACAGTTTAAGGGTTAAATAGTACTATATAGTAGTAGCAGCAGTTATGATAACCTATTCTGGAAAGAATGCCCACTGTCATGGAAATTTTCTTAAATATGTGCTGGATGTGATTCTTAAATTTAAATGTGCTGTCAGGGCAAATACCCAAGAATGTTCCCTTTCTTTCAGTGTAATTTTTTTTTTCCTTTTAGCTTTATTCCAAAACACTATAAATAGTCTCATCAATATAATGTTAATTTGTCACCATCCAGGCCAATATCTTTTCTGATTTAGTATTGACTGTGCTGAGGTCTTCTAGATAAAACTAATTGAGATACTTTGGTAGATATTGATATAAAAGAGAAATTAATAGTGGCAAGAGGACATAGTCTTGTGGCATCCCTATGTTAATGGGGATAAGACTTGTTAAGAGTGCATTGCTTCTTAATCCATAATGCTCTATTTTAAGCATTATTATTATTACTACAGTACATCATTTCTACTTTTTTGAGGTAAGGGGAGTTGAAACCAAACTGGCATGTATATCTTAGGTCATATAGATCTATACAATTCATAGTGCCCTCAGATTTGCTGTGAGCAGTAGATTTTTGGCTTAGACATAAAAAAAATTGGTTTGAAGGGAGATGTATTGATCACATAAAAAATCCTGCTCCAGTGCAGTACACAATGGGAACAACTGACTTCTGACCATTCATTTGGGTTAAAATAGCAACTTTTGGGTTATAAGTAAGAAAAAGGCACAATACCGTGACTGGAACAATACACAAACAACCCGCACATTGGAGAGAGAAAAGCTTATGATGACTAGTGACAGAAGATTTGGGGAAGTTTCAGAGCGGAAGTGACCTGAACTAGGCCTCAAAACTGCAGAAATTGTCCATTTTTGGCTATCCTCTTCCCACCTTTGTCTGTTTTATGGGTGTTTATTGGTCTGCTTCAGTTATTAAGGTGACCCTAACCATGAACAAGCACTTGTAGTTTATTATTTGAGATATGGAGTAAAAATGTTGAATTTTTATAATTAAGTTTAAGAAGGCAAGTGTTCTGTAAGTGAGGCCTGGGTATGTGATTAATGAACAGAGGGAAGGTTACTTTAATGGCTAGAATGCCTGCAATGTTCATTAGTTTTTAAATTAGAATTTGTTGAAAATACACTAGTGTAAAATTGGCCAAATTACTTACCTCTTGGCACTTGATACAGTAGTTTTGATAGCTGAATGAGCAATTTCTTGCAATCAATGGCTAGTTTGACTTCCATACTAGTGAAATAGCTGGGAATTGGGTTAGTTTGAGCATAGGAATTGCCAAAAGTAGGCCTCAAAAGGGAAAAATGTTGCCTGAAGTGTCCCTAACTTCTAGCTTCACACACTCATTCTGTATTACATCCAATTTTTCATGTTTGTTGTCATTAACTTTAGAAAAAGATTGTCTACTATTGAAGAATAAAAGTTTTTTTTTTTCAAACAGGAGCTTTTGGTTTGAAGAGGTGAGGGAGTGGGAGGGGGGGCAACAGCTAGTTAAAATACTGTTTTGTTATGAAATTTATACATTTGCTTGTGTATTTTTTTTTGTTTTAAAATATCTTAGTTCTCATATCACAATGGATGGAGTCAGTCCTAAAACTGGCAGGCCAGTGTGTTAACCACTGTACCATGCTGGCCTAATAAGGTGTTTCTGTACACACTAGAAAGGTTAAGTATCTTAGTAGTGGAAAGTGATAAATTTGCCTTTTAGTATTGCCTATAGTTGTTATTAATTTTAATATTAAAAAGTCAGCGACATTAATTTATGGAAAGCATTTGACAACAGTATTTTGAAATAGTTATGCAATTAAAAAAAAAATGGGAATGGTTGGGTTAGAGTAGGACTTGCATAGCATTGACCAGTGGGCTTTCTGTGGTGCTCCATTGTTCTAATTTAGGAAAATAGTAGCTTAGCACTAGTTGTGTGTAAGTGGCTAAGAGTAGGGCCTGGATAGCATGGGCCAGTAGACCTACTGCACTACTGTTTTGTCTTTATTTAGGAAAGTAATGGTTTTACATTAGTTGTGTGTAAGTGGAAATGGTTTGGAAGAATTTGACTTGTCTTAGTACTGACCAGTAGGCCTGCTGCAGTGCTTTGTCAATATAATCCACTGGTTTGGAGTGAGCATATCTAACTGTAATTTCTCCAATACTGTCAGAGCTTCATGCTTAATCTCATTGACATTACCCTCCAGCATTACCAGAATTCCTCTTGGGTTTCATAGTTAACATCCTCACCCCCATCTAATCTCCAGATAAGACATACGTTCTTTCTATAAATGCAAGTCACTACCATGTGAGACACTTCCAGAAGGTAACTAGCAGTGAAGGTGGGGGATGGGTGTTGCAGTAGCTCTTGACACAGATCATTGATTCATCTATATAGGCTTAGCACGGTGGAGTAAAAAAAAAAAAAAATGCATAGCATGACTTTTGTCCTTACATTGAACCTTTTATGCTAAATTTACTGAGGGCAAAGCTAATTCTTTTCCAGTGCTATAATTTTTTGGTTGCAGTATTTCATTAGCATTTAGAGAATCTTAGTCAGATTGCACTCTAATTAATACATGATATACAGTTGTGTGGGAACCTTTACTCCACCATTTTAATCTTATTAGATCATTAATGACCTAGTCCTTTCAATAAAATTATCTTGGTCCATGTGTTGCCTTCCCACTTACTTTTCATGGATGACCACAACTTTATAGACATCTATAACATAAACCTCTCCTGTATTGTGGCTTAGATTTAGCAAAAACAAATCAGTTTTAATAAAAATTAATTTGTTTAAACATTTTAATTTTATGCACAAGTTTACCAGATAATTTTAGGCTTAAATTAGTTGACCATCAACATACCATAGAAAAGTAAATTTTCATTATTTTTTTGTCATTACTGCTTAGTTATACAGTGGAACCTCGGTTTTTGTATGCCCTATAAAATGTATTTGTTAATATTTTTGAGTGTCTGGAACAGATTAATTGGATTT